ACACGACATTGGAGTACTACTCCACGACTTTTTCCGTTCACTCTTGAACGATCGACTTGTCAGGTAACATAGGCTGAATCTTCTCTGAGGTAACATAGGCTGAATCCCACTTCTGAGATTGAAAGATATCTATTAGATTCGGAAAAAATTAACGGAGACCGACTGGATTTGAACTCGGGATTCCTCGTCTACCAATCCGACACTTAGTCTGCACGACCACGACGGCTCCTCTCTGTTAGTGTTTATATTCCGAATCTCTTTCATGACCGCTTACGGTCATCTAATTCTTACAATACTAAAGTTGGAATCTTTATCTCTTTTCTACAGTGTACTTATTGCTTAACCTTATGGTAGTAGAATAACGTTAATCAATCCGGGAATCTCTCGATAAAGAGAGCGATTCCAACTCGCACGTTGTCTTTTTTTAGTGAGACATCCTTACACCTTAAAGGCTCACTCCAGTATACAATAGAGCTCAATGGACTACAGTTACAATTTTTGCCACTACGCAGCGGTGGCAATGAAACCTTCAGCGCGAAACATGAATATTATATAATTTGACGATCATTTCGCAATCTTTCTGCATATTTTTTCTCTTTCCGCAACCTCTCCGCATCCGTTCACTTTTTCATATACTTCCGCAATTATTCCGCAATCCGCTCGTAATTTTTCCACATATCTCCGCAATCTTTTCGCATATCATAGCAAAAATAAAAATAAAAGTGAAAATAAAAATAAAAAGATAAAAGTAAAAATGAAAATAAAAAATAAAAATTTAATTAAAACTAATGCATGAAGAATAAATTTTTAATAAAACATTTAAATTAGTTTATTTTAAATCGATTAATTTCATTTTATTGATCTAATGGAATTGAACAATCGCATTTATTGACAAATTTAACGATAAAGGCAATTGATCAATTTCTATAGAATTATTGGTTGGTTGATTAATTGGGATAAGAACTGATTATGAATATCGGCCATAAATTATCCTTGGATTTTGTTAACATGTCACCAGGTAATTGTTATTTTTATAAAAGAGTAAAAAAGTCGCCAAATGTACACGCAGTGTGTATGTGAAAGATTATTATATAAAAATGTTACTTTTTAATGCAAAAAAGATTTTTCAATTACTGACACAAATTATATCTTTATAAAAAAATAAAAATAAAACTCAAGATTTATATCTTTGCATCCGAGAACTTTTTATTTTTATAGTTGTATGTACAAGATTCATCATGTTATGATCATATGGCACAAAATGGAAATATATATATATATATATTATTTATAAAATACTTAACGCAACAAAATAAATGATATCACAACAAACTTACTTTTTATAAAAAAGTAAAAAAGTCGCCAAGTGTACGCGCAGTATGGGAAAGGTTATTATATAAAAATGTTACTGTTTAATGGAAAAAAAGTTTTTCAATTACTGACGCAAATTATATCTATTTAAAAAAATAAAAATAAAACTCAAGATTCATATCTTTGCACTCAAGAACTTTTTATTTTATTCTAGTTTATATTTACAAAATTATGCAATCTTATGTCTAATGTTCAAATAGTATATAATACTTAATTCTAATATTTGTATAAAAGATTTGATATCAAAGAAGTGGCACCAAGTTATAATTACATTATCTTGTTCAATATACAATTGCTTTTAAAATATAAAACTCGTGATAAGTATCAATTAAAAGCTTTTCCTTTCAACTCAAGTAATAACAGCTATTTTATTTTATTCTCTTTAAAAGTTATAAATACTGACGCCAATTATATCTTCTTAAAAAAATAAAACTTAATAAAAATAAAACTCAAGTATACATCTTTGCATTTAAAAGTATTTCTATTTCAATTCAAATATTACAAAATTACGTCATTTTACTAATGTTTAAATAATATATAATATATACTTCTAATAATATGTATCATTTGTATAAAAGATTTGATATAAAAAAAGTGCCAAGTTATAGTTACATCATCTCGAAAGTTCAATATACAACTGTTTTTAAAAAAATAAAACCCATGTGATATATAGCAGTTACATTATCTCGAAAGTTCAATCTCCTTAAAAAAAAATAAGAATAAAACTCAAGACACATATCTTTGCATCCAAGAATTTTTCTATTTCAATTCAAGTATTATATTACAGAATTACGTAATCTTATGTCTAATATTTAAATAATGTAATACTCTAATAGTAAGTATCATTTATATAAAAGATTTGATATAAAAAAATGGCGCCAAGTTATAGTTACATCATTTCGAAAGTTCAATATACAACTGTTTTTAAAAAAATAAAACTCATGTGATACATATCTTTATATTCCTATTAAAGCCTTCTTAAAATCTAAAAATCAAATGACAGTAGCTCTAATTTTTTTTTAAATAATGATATTATAAAATTGCATTACCTGACTCAATTGAAATAATATGTATCCAATCTAAGTGTTATATTATCTAAATAATTCCATGTATATCACTTGTATAACAGTATTTCAATAATTTTGATATCAATAATTAACGTCAAGTTATGTAAATTATATAACAATTACTTAAAAAATAAAATTTAAATTATTTGAAAAGTTTCAAAAAAATAAGACCTAATAATTATATATTATAAAGGATTTGATGCTTCATATAACAATAAAGTTTTATTAAACATGTATTTTTCTAACTAATAAGTACTAAAAATTCCAAAATAGTTTCAATATTGCACAATAGATGATATTCTGCCACGCACTCTGCTATATATTTTAAATAAAACGATATTTTTAAATATAAAGCAACCTTAAACAGACATACAAAAACTTGGCGCGCCTGGGTCGCATTAAAACTTAATAGTGTCTTAGATGAATAAAATTAGTTTTTTTTT